CCCCCTTCTGCTCAGGTCCAGTTCCCCAGAGCCCAGATGTTCAGACTCAGAATCCGATGCAGACGAAGACGCGGGGTTTCCCTCCCAGTTCTGCAGGGACTCGGACACTCTGCCGGAGGACAGCGTCGCGAGGCGTTCGGCGAGGAAGAAGCTCATCATGGCCGCCGTCGTCAGCCTCTTCTTCATGACCGGGGAGGTGGTCGGTGAGAAGGGGGAGGAGCCAAATAAACTCATTTCAACTATTATTTAAAGCTTATTCCAAATATTTGTTTTCCTTTTCATTATTCCTGCAGTAACAACTAAAACATATCCAGACATCACATTCTTCACAATATCAACCAATCCTAAAACAGATAAATGCATCTCTTACATTCATAACTTCACTTCAACAGGATATGATTGGATCAATTAACAGATGCAGTAATCAATTAAGTCAATTAAAGTATTACTAACAGCCCAGTTCTGCCCGGTTCAAATGACACTGTGACCCCCTTAGGTGGATACTTCGCTCAGAGTCTGGCCATCATGACGGACGCAGCTCACCTGCTGACGGACGTCTGCAGCATCTCCATCAGCTGCTTCTCTCTGTGGCTCTCCTCCAGACCAAAGACTGACTCCATGACCTTCGGATGGCATCGAGCAGGTCTCTGCACTTTAAAGCAGGAATATGTTTTCATATTTAGAGATAAATCATTGCTTTACTTATTAAAATGTGGCCCTAGTTAAAGACATGCAGCTGCAGCACCGAGCAGTTTGAGAACTGTTTTACGTCTTACTATATTATGACCTTTTTTGACACAAATAACAACATGTCCAATATGTCCATGGGCCATGACACGTGACAGAACTAGCTACTTTTCAAAAGCTTGTTTTTTGTTGCTAAAGTCAAAGGTCACCTATCGTGCTATCTGTAGGCAATAGCATCTCAGATATATAAAAACATGTCTATGAAGTGTTTTGCTCCAAACACCAAACAGATCACCCATTCTAGCCATGCCTCATATCCCTCTATTTCACTTCCTGTTTCTAAAGTGCTGATTTGGGTATAAAGCTTTAAAGAGGAGGGGGCTGAGCTCATGCGGGACCCGGCAGCTACTGTCTAAACTAAATGCTGCCTTGATGAAACGCCATATCATGGATTATCAAGGATTATCTCTGAAACAGTATGGAGCTCAAAGGCTTTCTCTCTTGCCGGTTATACCACAAGGTGAGTTCCTTTTTACTTCCTGCTTCTTCACACACATGCTCTCCAGTACAGGTTAGCTCTGAGTGTTAGCGATGCTAATGTAAACACCGACCATATTACGTCCAAAACAGTCGGACATTGTTTCTGTTAGCAACTTTCTGATAGCAACGTTTCTGATAGGGCCGTGGGTGTAAAGCCAGCCCACATTTCAGATATTACGTCATATCGGACGCAGACCCGTTTTTAGCGATTTGGGTATGGAGGAAAAGAGAGAGGGTTTTATTTTTTGACTCTGCGTGAGTTCCCCGACACACCGGGGACACATATTTATGTATAAAAGACATCAAAAAGTGCATTTTCCATGATAGGTCCCCTTTAATATATTGCAGTTTCTTACTCTGTATCATATAGTACAGTCATACCCCATCACAACAACCTCTGAATATACCTGACTTTACTGGAATCATTGTATTTGTGTCATATTCAGTGACAAGAGTTTCCAAAGAGAATTATATGTGAAAGTAAAGGTGTACCGAGTCTCCTTCCTTGGAAAATAAAGGCATCGCTCTAGCTATTCTGAGAATTTCCTTGATAATAAAAAAGCCCCCATCCACTATGTGTGCCTCTCCATAGCAACAAGCATTAAGCCGACTGCAGCACATCATCAACAGGAATCCAGTCAGTTGTTCCTAATTGGCGATGAGAGCCAAGCTAATTATAACTTTGTAGACGGAGAGAAGACTAACATGAAAAGACATTTCATCCAAACAGTTTCATTGCAACTTGAACCAAAGTAAACGCCACTTAATTACTGTCCACACAGTTTAATCGGGCGTTTCAGAGCCCAATCCTTTTACATCCTTTCTGTGGTTGTTTTGCAGCAAAACAAACGACTGGAGGACTTCAGTAGGCGCTGAAGAGCCACTGCCCTCCTCAAAATGCTGCAGCACAATTCATCAATATGCTTTCGATTAGCTCCCGCCCACAGGACACTAGTGGACATACAAAGAGTGCATGCATAGCCTCTGACCCCCATTATGTTTGGCGTTGAGTCTGCATAACAGTTTTTCACTCTATAACCGTGTTCAGAGAGGCTGTCCATGTGTTTGTGTGTGGGGGGATTTCTTACGTAACCAAATGCAGTTTGCATTGATATTTCCATGCAGCCGTTTTCAACCTTTTGGATGTTTGCCAGTTTTAAAAGCCACTCGTGTCGCATGACTGAGGCACAGGGCCCAGGGCTGATGCAGCGGAAAGTGGCGCCAAGCTAGCCCGGTGTTAAGACACTCATCGATACCCACGTGCGTCTGTTTTCACAAGCAACAGCAGGATAGCATGATGAGGCTGCAGTGTGCTCTACATTTACATTTTGCAACACACTGAAGTTTCTTTCTCCTTGAACAGTGAGCTGTCCCTCACATTTCCGCATGACGTGCCTTGAAGTAGTTCTCGCTGTGCTTCATGCCTAATCATTGTCAAACAATTACATGATTACTGAAACCCGGTGCAGAATAATTACACTGACGTCACTGCATAATATGTGAGAGGAAGAAAAAAACACTCGCTGGTGGTTTGTACACAAGATTTGAGCTACTGTTAGTTTTCACATCAAAGCCTGCATGTAAAACAAATTGAAGTGAACTATATTCAGAAGTACTGAGATGTTTTAGCAAATACAAAATAGCAATACAACCCTGCAGGAATACTGTGTAAAAGTTATGAAATTAACAATTCGACTGTATCTTTCACAAAGTCAAAGTACAAAGGTATAAGCACAGAAAAATATACTTTAAGTACCAAAAATATTGGTAAGGTAACCATTATGCTTAATAATAATAATAAGAAATGTTCCTCTTTTATTTTACAGCTTAAAGGTGGGGTAGGTAAGTAAAATCCATACAAAAATGTCATCTGTGGAAGCCGTGGTGCTGTAAAAAGCACGACCAATCATCTGAGCCGGCCCGGCTAAAGTAACTGGATGGCCTACCTGCCTGTCAGCCTTCCATCTGTGCACAAACTTATCTCGTGCCCTCATTGGTCATGTGCGCGTTCGTGTGTGTTGGAGGAGGGGCTCTGTAAGGAAGTGGCAGATTTTTTCCGGCTGTGTATTTTCAAATTCTAGCGCACTGGAGCTGGTTTCTCCAAAATTACCTACCCCACTTTTAAGGTTACCACACTTGAATAGCAAATAAAATACATTGTATATTTGATTTTTCAAAGCTACTGTCTAAGTAACCTACACTGTACGTCAAGACTGTATTCTTTCTTAAGTTCAGCTGTTTTAAATGAGCTCTCCTCTAAATTGAAGGTTATTTGCCGAAAAGCAGATTTCTTTCTCTCTCTGGTTGTCCTGCAGTGACCCACAGCCTTCACCGCTCCTCCATGTCTCCTCTTTAATCTCTCCTGCCTCACAAAAGGTCAATATGACCTTCACTTAGAGTCGTGACAGCATTTTTATGTTTTTTGGGCCATCTTTATGTCACGGTGAGCGGAACATGTATCTTAATGCTTCTCACTCTGTTCTTTCTTTTACAAATCACAGCTATTTCATCAAGTCGTTCCCTTTCACAGTACCTGGCTATCTATCATTGTACATCGAGTGCAGGTTGAACTGTGCACATATCAGGTCAAAAAGTTGCTTTGGGCTTGTGTTCGATTTTAAACACATTTTACCATTACACTTAAACTTGAGATATCAAATCAGATATCAAATCAGCACAACACAATTCACATGTGCGCTGCGTGACATGCAGCAGTCGGTGTCGGCCTCACCTCAGAGAGCTGCGCCCTGTACAGAGATTTGTTGCACTGCAGAAGCTGAGCGGCCAGGTTACAGTCCTTCCTGTACATGTCCTATGGAGACACGATTAGGAATGAACATTTAGGGATGAATATTCACTTATTTTGTTAAGTATTTTCATAATGTCAACTGATAATTCTACCCCTTAAACCCACTTTGCCTTGAGTGTTGTTGATTGGGTGCAAAATGAGGAAGGTTAATAATATCAAATATTATTCAGTACACAGCACTGTCACTTTTATTCTTGTGATTTTTATACATATCTTATTCTATTTTAGCTTGATTTGTTTGTTTTCTCTTGGCTTTTCAATGACAGTTTTTAAATGTGATTATGTATTCATGATTTCTTTGTTTTGCATAAGGCTTCATTGCTTTACTGTTTCTTGTGAAGCACTTTGAATCACCTTGTTGTTGAAATGTGCTATATAAATAAACTTGGCTTGATTTGCATAGAACTGCCTCTACATTTTTGTGTTTGATCATTTCCCCCCCCCCCCCCGACAATCTAAGCATGAAAGTGGATATATAAAATAGTATATAAAATTATCTAAAAAGCAACAGCTGACAGGGAAAAAACATCACATTCAAAAGAGAAATGTTGTAGGTAGGTAAACAGGGTGGAGATAATATGCTTTATTATATGAGGCTCTTACATTGTCTTCCTGCAGCTTCTCGATGGTGAGCTTGGCCTCTATCAGGTGGTTGTTGAGGACGATGATCTCTCTGCTGAGCGCTCGCTTCTCATCGTCATGATGCTGAGACTAAAGACAAGAGAGCGGATCAGAGAAATCATTATAGAATACGTTTATTGGTCACAAACAACACTCAACAAAAGGTGCATTTCAGTTCTTGCAATCGTTGCACAAACAGCACTGAACATATTTGACTTGTCTGTCAAGTTTAATAATGATTTGGGGAATCTGCTATATTATCCAAATAAAAGCAACATCCATCGATTAAGACTCTCCCAATTAAAATACAGAACCACATTAACCAGTTCAAGAGGAAGAGGGATGGGGAAGGTGTATGTGTATATGTGTGAGTATGGAGGTGTGTATATGTATATGTGCATATATATGTGTATGTGTGTGTATGTATATGTACATATGTGTATATGTATATATGTCAATCAACAGGTAAAGCAGATTAATAATAACAATGTAAATTAATAATAATGATAATTATTGCAGATTATAAATCAATCATTTAGGGACAAGGGGGTGAGATTAAATAAGTTATACTTCTTCTCACTCCTTTTCGAACACTAGATGTGGCACTGTTTATGTTGCTAATGCTGTTGTTGTTGTTGTTGTTGTTGTTGTTGTTGTTGTTGTTGTTGTAAATGTCATTTTTTATTTTGATTTCTCTTACATGACTATGCACTGCAAAAACAAATTGTTTTGTAATTATTTATTTTACTTGTTCGAAATAAAATGTATCAATCAATCAATCATAATAAGGATCTAATCCACCAGATAAACCGTAACATGTTGTGAATATGAAGCTTTGGTAAAACAGCGTCTGAAAGTTACTAACCAGATGATTGTATAATATAATCTCCGTATAAAATGGTGTGTGAGATTCAGGCTCTAAATACAAACACAGGATGGATACACTAAAGATACACAAAGAAACTTCACACATTGAGAAGTGGCAGCAGGACATACTGTAGCTGAATCTGTTGGTTACTATGGGTAACCAAGAAACCCTGATGTCAGTAAACAGAGCGCTACGCAGGAGTACATTTTCTCCTCTTGTTGGCTGATGTGGACAGAACCAATGTTTGTCTTTATGATGCATGATGGTGTTTGTGTGAATCCATTGTTTGCTGAGTTTAAATCCTGTCAGTGTGAGAGGTTATATGACAGCTGCGATAATTTAAAAAAAAGGGACAGTGTGTGCAAACATTTTGTCTTCTCTCTTCAGGCTTTTCCCTACGCTGTGTGAGCACTCAAAGTATATCACTGTGTTTATCTGTCTCGTAATTACATTCTCTATAGTTGTGCAGGGCCACGGGGTCAGAAGTGTTTGTGGAACCTCTGGGGTAAACACGCTTTACGATTACACAGAGACTTACTCTGCACCGCTCACACACCTGGGAGGGGGGAGTACGTGAGATGAATCAATAACGGCTGATTTGGACGCTTCGGGAGAATAAAAACTGTTGGAGTGTATTTAAAAAAAATGACAATTCTTCTTCTCGATGACCCTCGGCTCCTTATTGACCCTCGGCTCGCTGCTGTAGAGCTGTAATCACGAGGAGGGCCGAGATGATTATTATCTTGCGCCGTAACACACGCATTCAGCTGTCCATTCAACAGCAGCGACACCTGATTGTCATGCAGTGTTCTCGGGCAGGCTGGTTAATTGTATCTTTCCAGCGGCTAAAGCTACGTCTGACAAATGAAGTGAGGTGCGGCACGCTGAGGAACAAAGGCTTTGCTATCACTCTGCCGTTGGAAGGAGGACAGCCAATTGTAATAGGCAGTAATTAACGTCAATGGTACCAACAGCGGGGCAGTCATATTCAAATTGCCTCTCCGAGTTTTCTTCACCATATCTAAACCCTCTGAGAAGCTCTTTCTTCTGTGTCGACAGGTCCTCAAGCATGGCATTACACATGACGGGACACACGCTCTCTCTCACACACACACACACACACACACACACACACACACACACACACACACACACACACACACACACACACACACACACACGCGCACACACNGCTACTGTCTAAACTGAATACTGCGTATGATGAAACGCCATATCATGGATTATCAAGGATTATATCTGAAACAGTATGGAAAGAGAGAAAGCCTTTGAGCTCCATACTGTTTCAGATATAATCCTTGATAATCCATGATATGGCGTTTCATCATACGCAGTATTCAGTTTAGACAGTAGCTGCCGGATCCCCCATGAGCTCAGACCCCTCCTTTTAAATGTTTTATCCATTTTTTTTAAGCTTTATACCCAAAATCAGCACTTTTGAAACAGGAAGTGAAATAGAGGGATATGAGGCATGGCTAGAATGGGTGATCTGTTTGGTATTTTGAGCAAAACACTTCACAGACATGTTTTTTATATATTTTTATATATCTGAGACCTATGCTATTGCCTAAAAATAGCATGATAGGTGACCTTTAAATCAGAAAGTACGCTGCAGTTTAGGCCCAATTACAATGAGAGATTTGGATCGATCCCAAAAAGAAGTTCCTAGATTAAACTGTCAGACACATCCACAGACAAAAGTTAAGCCATGGCAAAGTATTGAGTGTCAGAAATTCACGAACATTTAAATTCACGACTGTTTAAAGATCACAAGGTTTCAAACCTACTTTGATCTTTTGCCAGGTTATAATGGATTATGAAACATTTGTGGCACGGAGCATTACCCTTTGTCTTCATTATTTTTGTAATACGCTTACCACTATTTCTCCTTTGAACATCAGAATGTATGGCCACAATGTGACTCTTCTACCATCTAACCAATGTGAATACATCATGACATGAAACAGAGTGCACTGGCTAACATGACATTTTATAGGCACCATTTTGGAAAAAGCACTCACAGCCCAAAGGATGGAGGCTAAATGAAACAGTGTTTTGTTGCACCAGCGTTTACTACAATGAAAATAAAAAAGCAATTACAGAACAACAAAGGCAGCAACAAAGAAGCCAGGCAGAACAGAGTACTTACTGTTGAGGAAAAATGAGGTAAAAGAAGCAAGGCATGGGGAATATATTGTGAAATACAGTCTTTGTGTTTTTTTTATTCATCAACTGGAGACTTTGATCAATTCAATCAGGTCGAAATAAATCAAAAGAGGGACGTCTGATTGTGTTCGATGTGCTTTTTTAAATAACATCCAAACGCAGTATGTAAATGTTGTTTGTGGTGAAGAAGAAAAACATTGCAGAGTTTATTATTATGACATACGCTGCTGACGTCTCTGCTTTCATACACTATTTTCTATTTAGATCACATCAATAGACTTCTCACTAAGTGTGACATGAAACTATTTAAACTAAATAGAATAAGGTGCTTGGAATATTCTATAATCGTTATGAAGCCTTTAAATGTTGTAGTATATGTAAAAACCCTCCTAATCAATCTAATACATTAAGAAATGACTTAAGTAATCCCAAAGGAGAACATTGTGTCTGAGACTGCTCATAAATTACAAGAACATAGTGTCACGGTATGGGAAAGGTAGGACCCAAATGCAGAATGAGGAGAGAAGCAGTTTCAAAATGGAACAAAAGGCGAGCTTTAATCAAAAAACGCTGAAAAAACAAGAATCCAAGAAAAGGTACAATGCACGAGGTAGCAACCAAAACAAAAAGGGACTGTGACCAACATGAAGGGAGACATGAACGACAAATAATGAACCAACACCGAACACAGGAAGAGACTAAATACAGGGAGGGGTAATCACGAGACGAGAAACAGCCGGGCAGGGAAGGAGAAACACAAGGGCAACAGGTGAACACAATCAGACACACCAGGGAAACTAACGACAGGGAGGACAGAAATAACCCCAAAACTTGACAAACAAAAACTCAAACCCTGACACATAGGGATACAAAAAACATGTTATACATATACAGTATACTAAAAACAGCAGTGCCTAGAATACTATACTGTACAATATGATACAATAATAGCATACGATTGTCAGATCGAGTCTGCATTTGTTCTTGCATCACAGCTGCTTCATTTGCAACCTTAACAAATACAAGACAAGAAAACAGGTAACAGGTATGAAACCTAACATGACACTAGAATAACAGTAACAGTCAGATACATGTAGTAAAATAAGTCAACTAAAATAGAAAAGCAATTGGTAAAGCAGATGTGATCTCAGCTCCACCTGTCGGGACAGAATCATTTACATCACGCCTTTCTCTTTTCTCTGACCCTTCTAGCTGCCGGCTGACTTCCAGGAGCGCCTCACCATGCACCTGGAGGAGTCTCCTCTCTGCTGCACCTACTCTGACTCCGTCGCGGCCTCTCTGATCGGCAAGGTGCTCGAGAAGCCGGACGAGGCCTGCAGCAGCAGCCAGGCCTCCCGCTCCCCCAGCCCCCAGACTCAGGAACACACTTTCGTTTTGGAGAGTTTGGGCCCCGGAGAGCGGCTCAGGCTCCGCGCGGCCTACAAGTCGGACCTGTACAGCAGCGACACGGCGCTCTACTGCCCTGAAGACCGGCAGCGCGAGAGGAGGCCCAGCATGGACGTCCATGGTGAGAGGGCGCTGCTCTACGGGCCCCAAATCTCCACCGACAGCAACCCGGAGGAGGGGTCAGTGGGTCTGAGGGCTGGCTTCTCCCAGGAGCACTTTGCTAAGTTCCCCGCCCCGCTGAGGGCAGGCTCCAGCTCCTACTCCAGCTTCAGCGGGGGGGGCTCTGAAGACAAAGGCAACGGGCCGCCCAGCAGCGCAGCGTCCTCCCCCAGACACCACTCCCTCTTCATGGAGTGGAGGGATGCAGGGGACTATGAGAGAAAGAGTGACTCTTCCTGGGAGAGGGACAGTCCGAGGGGCTTCCCCAGCACTCACCCCTTCCAGCAAGCGGAGCTGAGCCACCACCAGAACGGCAGCTCGCCCGTCTACAGCCGCACCATGTCCTCCTGCTTCAGTGAGCCCTACGAGCCGCTGCCGCCCTCTTCGTCCCCGAGCGTGGCCTACGGAGACAGTCGACGTGGCAGCACATTGGCCCCCGAGGAAGAGGAGCTGATTGGGCGATGGAGACAGCTGAGCGTAGAGGACCTGAGCGCCCAAAGCTACCGCAGCCCAGGCCGGGCTTCACCCTACAGCTTCTCAGAGCAGCACTTCTCCGTCAGGCCGTCTAAGATCCGCCTCGGCCCGCTCTACAGCAGCTTCCAGGAGGGGGGTGACTTTTACCCTCAAGAGGGCGTGGACCCTGTGTGGGTAGCTGCCATCCCCAGCCCAGAGTGCAGCCCGGGGCCGAGCCAAGCCCACCTGTACAGGGCGGAGGACAGCCACGGGTCGGAGCACAGCCTCTACCACTCAGGGAGCTCCAAGGAGAGGGATGGGAACGTGGCAGCGGGCGGCCAGAGCGCAGACTATGTGGACCCCAGCCCCAACAGCTCCACCGAGTCCCTGAACCAGAGGACCCTGGAGATGGCCACAGAGCTGCAGCACTACCAGGTGGAGATGCACAGCCTGCCTGCACAGGGCAGCGGGTCACCACCGGCAGGCCCACCTCCTCCGCCTCCCTACAACCAAACATTTGGCTCCCTAGGACTTTCCAGGAAAGACAGTCTGACCAAGGCACAGCTCTATGGGACACTTCTGAACTGAAGGACTGAACAATCAGGTTTATTCTTTCATCAGACGACGCCCTGGTGTGTCCCGCTACACCTTCTGTTAGCACCACCATTTGGTAGAAAATGGTTTGAATAGCAGCCAGGGGGAATCACTCAGCATCATGAACATGTATCTGTTGCTGATTATTGAAAAGCTTTGAACGTACGGCAGTGAGTGGCAACAGTTTACACTACGAGAAAGTCACGATGATAGTTGGATGTGGGGCAAAAAGGAGGCGAGGATCTCAAGCTGAAAGGCCCCTTACAATTTATAAGAATGTGTATGTATTTAAATTACAAATGTATAAATATAAACTAATATCTACCAATTCAGTGATATATTTTGTATGTAGCTGTTGGCAAGAAATACATCTAAAACAATCAGATAACAATTCAAATCTTAAATACACCTGGAACTTGTATATAAATGGTAAAACTGTCGATTCGAACACTGAGAGAGGAGTTATAATTTAGATGTGACGCCCGTATAAAGTGCACATGAATCCAGTCATTATTTTTAATGGACAGTGTTGGCCCTGTGAGGATTTAAATGTGAATGTTGAACAAAGGGAGACGACAAAAATCAATTAATCACTTAAATGAGAAACATACATTTTGTTTTTCTTCTGTTCATTGAATTTGACAGTATCGGTGGGTGTGTTAATTGTATCGATGGAACGTTTTGAGATCTGTTTTAGCAGTCGGTATATTTTACATTTTTGCTCTTCTATATCCCACAGAGAGGTCCTGCCCCCATTCTACCTCAGATTTGGATGCCCACACCCCATCAAGCCACTGTAACCCTGTTCCTTTGACGGCAATGCATGTTTATATATTTTTGGTTGTTTTGTTCACCTAATAAAGCACACATTATACATACACGCTCCCAAGCCTTCCTTTAATGTTCAGGCGATGCTGTGTGGGGACTTTAAATATACTTTATAGTCCAGTTGCGTATGATCTATCGCTGTCTTGGAGATAATTACATGTCCGCTGATGCAGAAGTTGAGTGGTTGAAGTGGGAGGAGGGAGACCCTTCATCACTCACGATGCTGCAGCCATGTGGCGCTGCATGCTGAGTCATTGCAAAGCCCTGCTTCATCACCAATTGTAAATCTAAAAATAGCTTTGTTGAGACACATTTCTGCCAAGAACAGCAAACTCCAAACAGATAGGAAGGTTATTTGTGTCGTCAAGAAAATACTACAAAGAAATGTTTGTTATGCACTGAGTTTGTGTAAAATTAAACACAGCTAATAATACTTAATATACTGATGATACCAGTGTCATGCTGGTATATTAAATAAAGACGATGTGGACAGAAAAATAAGATTACATTTATATTATAAAACAACAAAAAACGAAGTTTGGAAATGTCATAAACTGTACCAGAGACCTGCTGACTAATCTCCTTTTAGGTTAATATATGGACTATAGTCAACTATCTTTGTTTCTATCTTTATCTGTTTTAAACTGAATATATATGTTAGTTAAACCCAGCAAGACATTAGAAACCTTGGACCTTATATTGTAAAATATATTTTTGATGATTGATTAATTGAAAGGTAAATCAGAAAGAAATCGACAATCAAGATAATAATAATAATAATAAATGGGATTTATATAGCGCTTTTCTAGACCCAAAGACACTTTACATTACGAGTAAGGTCGACAAACAAAACAAGAACAAAAACACAAACACAAACAAAAACAAAAACAAAAACAAATCAAAAACAGAAAAGCCGTCAGGAGGATGTTGGTTCAGAGGGGGGAGGGGCGGGTTTAAGGATAAGCAGAGTTGAAGAGGTGGGTTTTGAGATGAATCCGTTTCAGCCATACTGAGGTGTCCCATAATTGTCTTTCTCAGAAGATTCAAATATTTTAAAGCAAGTATTCAAATAATTTTGGAACAGTTCATAAATTCTAATTTTCACTCTTTTCAGACAAACATGACAATAACGGGCAGATTTTGTAAAATCTAAGTTTAAACCAACATTTTTCAGTTTTGCAACTTTGGATTTTCCTTTTTTCTATGTGAAGAAATGTGAGCTGCATGTTTGTATGGAAGGTGCTATACAATTAAATAAAGTTGATTTGAAAGGATCAAAATAGACACATAGTACAACACAAATATTATTATCTGTTTTCTCTGATTTCATTTATTCTCATTTGAATTTCATATTGAATTGATTGCAACATTTCCTTCCTCTCTCTCCTGCAGAGGTGAGATTGAAAGTTTCCACAGGAGGGAGCCGCGGTGCTGCATCATCTCACTGATCTGCACGTCAGCCTGATTGTTAGTCTCCTCCGGACGCAGCAGAAAGCATTTACACTTCAAACACATCAACAGAGGGAGACTAGATTAACAGCTGCCCCCCCCACACACACACACACCTCCTCATTTGTAACACTGCAAAATACATGCTAAACTATGCACAAATGTAGCATTCAAGTACAATAACTGAACCGGATGGATAAGCTATTCTTAGACTTTGCACAGCGCGGGCAATAATGTGACAACTCAGCGTGGCTCTGATGGATGCAGAGGAGATGAGCTCCATCATGGTGTGTGTGTGTGTGTGTGTGTGTGTGTGTGTGTGTGTGTGTGTGTGTGTGTGTGTGTGAGAGAAAGACAAGGGAGAGAATAGAGTGCAATCTGGATTTTATTTTCAATAACCAAGATTGATCTCGTTTGCTCTTACAGCTTACTATTTAACATTAGAAATATTTTCGATGTTTGCTTTGCACTTTTACATATCCATGACTGTGAAGCGCCATGTGTGCCCTCTTAGTATTTTTCCTATATTTCGAGAAAGCCTTAATGTCACAACTTCCTGAGGATGTACTTGTAGCCTACATGCACCTAAGTAACAGGGTAACGGCTTTCTGCTTATTCGATAAATGTGGTGTGAAAAACGTTTCCACAGCTACATTTCTCTCGGTGAACACAGACTTTGATAACCAGATGTTTCTATTTACTTTGTACATGTTCATATGTGCATGGTGAAAACTTCAGACAGGGGAAGTTATGGTGGAGCAAGTGGAAGAAATAAGGGAGCGATGCATCCTGGTTTGAACCATCACGTTTACATGTTTTAATTGAAACTTTATCCAGTCTCTGTTTTACCCACTACACTGCACACATTTACACACTTCATCGGCACAACATATCATTCCATTATTGATGAAATCAGTCTTAGCACAAGCCATCTCCTGCACAGCAGCGTCCGTTTGAGATTAAGTATTTTGTCCGCAGTACGGGACTCTGCTCAGTCAGCGAGCCCGACCATCCTCCTGCTTATGTCCCACAGTTTCTTGGCTGCCTGCTCATCTGTAGCCTTGGCCATCAGCTCCTCCTCCGCACAGTTAGCGAAACACTTCCCCGACACTCCCTCCACCTCGGGGGAGCAGGCCAGATAGAGAGGGGTTTGGGCTCCCTCCAATGGACTCTTGAAGAAGATCAGCGAGGCGAGGTAGAAAAGCGGCTTTGCAAGGAAAGGGATTTGAACGTGTCTCCCCAATCTGGTCCTCACGATGCCGGGGGTGAGAGCGTTGACTGTGACCCCCGTGCCCTCCAGCTGACGAGCCAGCTCCAGAGTGAACAGCAGGTTGGCCAACTTGCTCTGACTGTAGCAGAAAGCTTTATTGTAGTTATTCTCACTGTTCAGGTCGTCAAAGTTGATGTGGCCGTACTTGTAAAGCTTTGAGGAAACAACAACGATGCGGCTGGGGGCCGAAGACTTCAGGAGGTCCAGCAGGAGGTGGGTGAGGAGGACGTGGCCGAGGTGATTCACACCGAGCTGCATCTCAAAATCATCCTCGGTCTTTGTGTAGGGACACTGGTAGATTCCGGCATTGTTGATGAGAACGTCAACCTTGGATTCCTCCTAAAGGGTCAGAGAAAAACAAATAATTTAAAGTTCGACTTAATAACTCCCATCAAAGACAAAAATACCTTTACATACAAATGAAGCTATTTAAAATGTTTCATTGTTAAATCTAAAGCTTTTTAAAGCAAGATAATGAATATATTGAGAGTTGAGTCTCTTCTTAAAACATGGTCAGTGGGTGGTGTGGGCATTGAATGGGAAAGGAAAACAAGGGAAATGTCTGTTAGGATTGCTAGTGTTTATTGTTGCAACAGTGTTTATGCTGCCCTTCTAGGTCATTTATTTATAATCTAATAATAGGTGATCAAGCTAATGTTTGTTAGGTTGAAGGTCAATACAGAAGTTCAGCACCATGGACAGTTTCTCTGAAGCTAAAGTGCTTGTTATGCCCTTTTTTGTATAGGCCTTACAATAGCTGGAATAAACTAGAAATCAGTCATTTAAAAAGCTCAACTTTATCTAGTAAACAAACTATACATTAAGCCTGAGAAACTGTGGGTCACTTCTCCATGTATCAGCTCAACTAACCTCTTTAATTTCCTCACAAAACCTCCGGACTGATGTGAGAGAGGCGAGGTCCAGGTGTTTGATGACCACCTCTCCCTGCTCTGGTCCCGCTTGTTTCCGAATGTCCTTCGCCGCCTCCTCGGCTCCCTGCAGGTCACGACAGGCGATGATGACCCGGGCCCGGAGTTTCAGCAGCTCCCCGGCCAGGGCCTTCCCGATCCCGCAGTTAGCCCCGGTCACGATGACCGTCTTTCCCCGCATAGTGTCGGCGGAATACCGGAGCAGCTTCAAGGCTTTCTGTTGCCGGGGGAACAGGCGGCGCATGAGGAGCAGGACCCCGCCGCCGACAACAGCGGCTACTAACACCGCGGTGGCCATGAGAGAAGCACCGGGGACAGGTCAGATCTCCCGGTGACAGCACGGTGTGTTATGTGTAAAAGTTATAAAAGTACCCCGGAAACAATTCTTCTTCTTCTTCTATTGTTTTATGGCGGTTGGCAAGCAGCTTTTCGGTGCATTTACCGCCACCTTCTGGAGTGTGGATCAGCACGGTGTTAAACTAAATTCTTAATATAATTTCTGTCCTTTTAAAAAAACGAAATACTGCCCTGTATGCTACATAGTATACCTTAACCCTAACCCTTAACTCTTTCTCAAAATCTCTACTATATTTATTTTAAACCTATTTGATTTCTGTTCAGTGCTTCCTTTAGTATTATACGCCGGAAACACTTCCCTGCTAATATGTCAATTTAACGAACAGCGTTCCACTATAAATAATCATAACAAGTCGGTTTTTTGTTATAAAACGCGTATAAGCAACATATGACTTTAAACAAACTAGTGGACTGAATGAAGAAAGATACATTAAACATACCGGTGGTTACGCCTGATTAAAAAATGTCTGTAAATCGAAGAAAAATGTTTTTAAAATATATACACGGAGTACAATAAAACTTGCATTGACCATATCATAAATAAATATTGAATAGAAAAAAATATATAAGAATAAAAATAAGAAGGATTGAGGAACATCACCGGCAGTACAGAAGGTAACAATCGTGTTTTCTTCTAATAATAAACCAAACATAATAGTATTATGGTCAAGCATTGCTGTAGTTTGGGAGACGATATGTGTGCTGGGGAATGGATAAGACATTTTTTTTTCTCATTGCAGTCTTCTCGTCTTGTAAACTCTTTGTGAGTTCTATACACTGAGCACTAGGTAGAGCTGTTTGCACAGAAAAGTAGTACAGTAATTCACTCTTATCTAATTCCCGCCTGTTATATAATGTATTATATTATTGTCTACTCCATTACAACCAAAAGTTCTGCATTCAAAGTCTTACAAGTTAGGAATAAAAAATCTAAAGTGACTCATTATAACAATTAACATTTTCCAAAAATATTTATCATATCACTGGACTATAATTATCTTTTTGTACAATTGATGTTCATCAATTTAATGTTGCAGGGGAGAAAGGTGGAGCTTTTTGTAATTTGAAGCAGTTAAAAAATATAATGTTTGTGTTTATTATATTATATTACATTCATAGCCGTGGGAACATGTTTCAAATGGGGGGTGCTGTGGGGATGACACCAGGGTCGGTTTTGACCAATGTGCTGCCCTAGGCAAGATTTTAGCTGGCATTGAAAAACCTCTACAAAAGACCAATACACTACAAAAAGAGAAACGTATTGACATGGTGGACAGCTTATATAAAAAGGCTTCAAATGTATTTAGTATTGCATGAACATGTTTTAATTTAGGGGGTGGACTTCACATCCTCTTGGGGGGTCCGGGGGTGCACCCCCGGGAAGATTTTTTTTTAACATTTTAAAGTAAAATGCTTCAATCTGGTGCACTTTGAGCGCCCAATTGCTAGAGACTGATCTAGGGGATACAACTCTAAACACCCATATGAAAAAGATCGGTTTGGATTTTAATAATCAAATAATATATGTGAACATAACCAATAACCTACCATAGCCAATAACAAATAAATGTAGGCTAACTTGTTTTATTTTTGTTAACATTTATTTATTTATGCATATTTTTAAATCTCTCCAGTTTTAAACAATATTTTTGGTTTACTGTCCTATAGTATACATTGGAATGATTTCAAACCTGTTTTTATTCAGCCTAATAATTATAAAGGAGTGCCTTGGAAATATTTGTTTACATAAATTGTGATCAAAACATTTGAGACCCACTCAACTATCTAAACACTCAGAGTCTTTACCTCACTGAACCTCTCAGTCTGACAGGAGAGCTCTCCCTCCAACCATATTGTAGAAACATCTTTCTTAATATCCGTTAGCGCGCAGAGCACTAACAACAATCGCCAGCCGGTCCGGTGCACCCTCTCTCTCAATCTATCTATCCCTCTCTCTCTCTCTCTCTCACGCTGGTGAGCTGCGGGTGCCTGATAAGCCAACATCCCCCACTTTCATCACTTACAGCGCCCATCGTACGGGGCAAATGGAAAATGTAACCGGGGTGAAAAGGGTGTTATCTTTACTTAATTATGAATGTTGTTACATCTAGGCTGAAAATTCATTTTTTTGAATTTGTATTTAATTTTGTGGAAGTGCAGATCCCCTGTCCTCCACCAGGGGGTGCTGCAGCACCCTCAGCACCCCTACTTCCCACGGCCCTGATTACATTAACAATCTGAATCTATCAAGTAACTAGCCTAACAACATTTCAAAATTCATGTAGTTGCGTAAAAGTACATTATTTCTCCAAAAGATGACGAAGTATTATTAGGCCTGGGCTATATGGAAATACTCACGTAAAGTTCAAGCAAAATGTTGGAAACTTTTATCTACACTTTCGCAAATGTAAATCCATTAGATTCTCTCTAGATAGGGTAGCCTACAGCAGAAAACGCGTCAGTCAATTAGCAGGCGCTGATATCGAAAGTCTTTGATGATTAATGGCTGAGTCATATCATTACATTTGAAGTGGAGAGGTGTGTTTTGTGTTCACGTTATTCTACGTTGCTCCGGGAATAAACAGACAGGATTTATTAAAGTAGAAGCTGGGGACGAAGTAGCTCACTTCCTCTTAGCTGTCTGTGTTTCCGTTGAGTAATAACTCCCGTTTATTTCAGGGTTTGCTTCAGTTCCTGTTAGTTGAAAGCTAATATACAGAGTTAGTTTGAAAATGCGGTGCGGTGTTGGTACAGTTGGTCTTATCAGACATAGTTAAAGCGATTTTATTTATTTGATCTTGTGCACCTGGATATATCACATCTTTAAAAGTCTTTATTTCTAGTTATAAAAGAAATGCATTTATTCTTAGCTCTGTTTATTCTGGCTGTGAACCCCTCCATTTGTAAGGGTAAGTAAACCTCCTATATTTGATATTTATTATCAAAGTTAAAGCATGATAGTAAAAATACAGAGCACCTAACTTTCCTGGCCGGGATTTATAGGAAATGCGTTTTGTTTTGGTTTCATAACAAATGTGTGATGAGCTTGTGGGTTACTAAATGCGTCATAAAATTAATAATACCTTAATCTAATTAAACCCTAACCCTAATATTAACTTCTTGCTCCATAACCTAATTTATATTTTATTTCCTGGGTGATCATTGTTATTCAATAATATATTATTTGAAATAACCACAAATCTAACTTGTGACAGAGACATTTTGTAAGTTATTCAATAATATATTACTAATTATTCTTAATTTACACAGGTATGGATAAAAATATACAATATTAATTGCTTTAAGTGTCTACAAATCTACTCCCCATCTGAAAATAATAAAAATACTAATCAAATGTTATTTTAAAGTCTATTAATGTCTAAATAATTCAAAAGGAAATCTTTGTGTCGCTAACTGCAAAAGGAATGCTTTTCATGATTTCCCAAAATCATGAAAAGCACAAAAATGGTGTTTTCACATGCTGCAGATCTTCTGGTCTAATATTCCCCTTTCTTTTCAGACAGGTAAATACGTGTATTTCTTAAATGCCATAATCATCTTTTGCAGGCAAGGATGAGAAAAAGTGCGACGTTGTCCCTAAAAATAATTACATCGAAGTGGGATCCGATATCAATATAACTTGTCTGACATGTGGCCATGGCGAAATCTACTGGACACTGGACACATCACGTTTGAACTCCTCACACACAGTCCTGTCCCTGAGGAACTTCACACACCAAAGTGCCACGGTGCAGTGCCACAGTACAGATTCTCAGCAAGTGATCGGAGGCACCACCATCAGCACGTATTGTAAGAAGCATTTTACATCAGAATAGTTGAAAAGGCTGTAGATACCGGCAATAACATGAAGTATTGGATATTTCTGACTTGCCTTTTTCCACAGCAAAACCCTGTAATATATCATGCATCTGGCATCAATTCGATCAGAAAACGGAAGGTCAACCAGACATGTTCACATGCAAATGGGATCATCGGATTGATCCTAAATTGGATGTAAACTACACAGTACTGCAGTGGGTGACATATTTTCTTTCTTTAGTGTAAGAACCTAATGAAAAAAACGTTTTCATTGACTTTGGTCCTTCATGTGAAACCTGTGTTTTTTTCAGCTCCTCTGCTCAGAGAGAGATCTGCAAAACACGTGAAACAACATGCACGGTTGAAGGTGTTATAAAAAGTATCTTTTCGAACATCATTATTACCGTGAGAGCTAAAACTGCTGATTGGGAAGTTGATTCAGACACTCGTGAATTTCAGCCAGCGCACATACGTAAGTACCATAAAGTACATTCATTAGGAAATCATTTGATATATTTGTCATCCAATGTTGTGTGTTTCTGCATTTTTATTTGCTGTCATAATGCCATTCCCACAGGGAAAATGATCCCTCCCCACTTGAATGTAACCAGCTTTGCTGATCATCTGTTGGTTGAGTGGAAGCGGGAACTCATTAAACAAAAGTCTCGATGTGAAGTCAAATACAATGAGGTAAGTCCCTCTCTGATCGCCTACATGCAGCATTCAAAATAACCATAGTATTGACTAACTCCCTCATGTTAGGAGAAAAAAGGCAAACCATAAACAGCCTTCAGTCTAGTTAACATATACCAGCGTATGACCTAAATAAGTCATATCAAGTGCATGATAGCGATCCCATCAGTAAAATAACATTCAAATTCACGTTGATTTGATTCCTTTGTTCATGTCATTTGATATCTGACTGGTGTGTCCGACTGGTTTATCAAATACATTCTGGTTTAATTGCCTTGACTGTCAATGTCAGTTTTCCATGGAAATAAAAGTTGCTAAAAAGTAGAAAAGCTGTTTTTATGTTATTCCCCTACATGGCTAACTGAGGTACATTCTGTTTGCCCTTCTCTTCCAAACGTTCAATGAAAGACCCATAGGGATAAGAGAAAGATGTCTCCCTGTGTAGAAGTATCTTATTTCAACTGTGGACCTTCTGTGATTTCCCACGAATTCATTTTTTCCCCCAGACGAAGCTTAAT